AGGGGGAGGAGGGGGGGAGGAAGGGCGGGGAAGGGGGGGTAGTGGGACGGGAAGGAAAAGAGTTTTTAGTAAGGGAAAGGTAGAAATGTTATAAATGTCTACTTGTATGAGAATTGTTTCCCTTTCTGGGTTTTTGTATTAATATGAAAAATTTAATAAATATTTAAATAAAAAAAAAAAAAAAAAATACACAGCACTTTAAATATATATTGTACATTCACATCAGTCCCTAACCCTCAAGGGGTGTATAGTCTAAGGTCCCTAACACACATTCATACATACACATAGTAGGGCCAATTTAGACAGGAGCCAACTCACCTACCAGAATGTCTTTGGAGCGTGAGAGGAAACTAGAGTACCTGGAGGAAACCCACGCAGTCACAGGAAGAACACACAAACTTCAGGCAGGTGGTGCCATGGTTGGGATTTGAACCAACAACCCAAGTACTGCCAGGCAGAAGTGATAGCCATTTAGCCACTGTGCTGCCCATGCTTTGTTCAGCATATTTCATGCCTGAGGTTTACAACCACTTAATTATTATTATTATTATACAGGATTTATATAGCGCCAACAGTTTGCTCAGCGCTTTACAATATAACGGGAGACAATACAGCAACAATACAGTTCAAAACAAGGGATAGGAGGGCCCTGCTCCTTGGAGCTTACAATCTAGGAGGGAGGGGCTAGTGGTACAAAAGATAGTAGCTGTGGGGGATGGACTGGTTGGAAGAGTAGAAGATTCCATTATTCGCTGAGGGCAGGATAGGCTTTTCTGAAGAGATAGGTTTTCAGAGATTGCCTAAAAGTAAGCAGAGTAGGCGATAGTCTGATAAATTGGGGTAGAGAGTTCCAGAGGATGGGGGGGAAGCTCTGGAGAAGTCCTGGAGATGAGCATGGGAGGAGGAGACAAGGGAGCTAGAGAGCAGGATAGTCAAGGCGGGATATAACAAGGGAGTGAATAAGTTGCTTAGTAGTTTCCGAGGTTAGGAACGGGCGTATCTTGGAGAGGTTGCAGAGGTGAAGTCTACAAGATTTGGACAGTGATTGGATTTGGGGCTGAAAGGACAGATGGGAGTCTAGGATTACACCTAGTACCCTGGCATGAGGAGAGGGACTGATGATTGTGTTATTGATCTTGATGGAGAAGTCAGGGGAGGGGGCACGGGTTGGGGGAAATACTAAGAGCTCAGTTTTGGAAAGATTGAGTTTGAGGAAGTGGAGTGACATCCATGCCGATATGTCACTTAGTTGGTTAGTAATGTGAGAGGAGACTGAAGGGGTGAGGTGAGGGGTAGAAAGATAGATTTGTGTGTCATCAGCATAGAGATTGGTACTTAAAGCCATGGGAGTTTATCTAGTGACCAAGGGAGGAAGTGTAGATGGAAAGAGAAGGGGTCCTAGGATAGAACCTTGAGGGACCCCTACAGAAAGAGGTAGTGAAGAGGAGGAGGAAGCGTTATAGGTAACGATGAAGGAGCGCTGCGATAGGTAGGAGGAGAACCAGAAGAGAGCAGAGTCTCTGAGGCCAAGAGAGTAGAGTTTTTTGAGGAGGAGGGGATGTTTAACCGTATCAAAAGCCACAGAGAGGTCAAGTAGTAAGAGCATGGAGTAGTGGCCATTGGTTTTAGCAGTTAGTAGATCATTAGTGAGTTTTAGTAGGGCAGTTTCAGTGGAGTGGAGTGAGCGAAAGCCAGACTGTAAAGGGTCAAGAAGGTTGTTGTCGGAGAGGTGGGAGCTCAGACTATTGTAGACTAAGCGTTCTAGGAGTTTAGAGGTAAATGGCAGCAGGGAGATGGGTCTTAGGTTGTTCAGGTCAGTGGGGTCCAGGGAGGGCTTTTTAAGTATGGGAGTGATGTGCGCATGCTTTAGAGGGGAGGGGAAGGCACCAGTAGAGAGGGAAAGATTGAAGATGTGAGAGAGGGAGCATAGGATAGAAGAAGAGGGTGACTGTAGAGTTGTAAGGGTACAGGATCCAGGGGGCAGGTAGTGAGACGGGCTTCTGAGAAAACTTAGTGACCTCTTCAGTAGTAGCAAGGTGAAAAGAGGAAAGTGTTGAGGGAGGTTTAGTATAAGGTATGCTAAGTGGGATGGATGTCTGTGCAGTGGCGATGCCCCTACGAATTGCGTCAATCTTGTTTTTGAAATGATTTGCAATCTCGTGAGCAGTGAGTGAGGTACTGGGTGGGGGTGGAGGTGGAGAAAGTAGAGAATTAAAAGTAGAGAAGAGACGACGAGGACTGGAAGAGAAGGTATTAATAAGAGTGACAAAGTAGGCTTGTTTGGTAGCATGAAAGGAGGAATTGTATGTTAAGAAATCAGATTTATATAGGATGAATGCTTGCTGGGATTTGGTTTTACGCCACAATCGCTCCAGCGCACGACTATGTCGTTTAAGATTTCTGGTGTGGTCAGTCTGCCAAGGTTGTAACGGTCGGGGCCTGATGCTTCGTGTTGTTAGAGGAGCAAGTGAGTCTAGTGTGGATGAAAGCGAACTTTTGTAGACAGCAGTGGCCAAGTCAGGGCAGGACAGGGGGAGAGATTCTGTCATAGAGTTGGTCAGTTGCAGAGTGGAAAGGAGCAGGGTTCAAGTTGTGAAGGTTTCTGCGGGTAATTGTTTGCCGCTTGGAGGGATAGGTGTTTGAAGACGAGGTGACTGTGAAAGTGATGAGATTGTGATCAGAGAGAGGAAAGGTGGTGTTTGTGAGGTTGTAGGGAGTGCAAAGATGGGAGAAAACAAGGTCTAATGTATTCCCATCAGAGTGAGTGGAGGACTGTATACATTGTGCTAATGCAAAAGATGAGGTTAGGTTGAAGAGGTGGGATGTAGCCGGGTTGTTGACATTAATAGGGATGTTAAAATCTCCAAGAATGACAATGGGTAGTTCACAGGAGAGAAAGTAGGGTAGCCAGGCGGAGAAATCATCAAGAAAGCGGGACACCGGTCCAGGAGGCCGATAGATCACTGCAATCCTCAGAGAAATGGGAGAAAACAGCCGGATGCAGTGAGTCTTGAAAGAAGAGAAGGATAGAGAGGGAGGGTTAGGGAGGACTTGAAAGGTGCTCAGTGGGGATAGAAGCAAACCAACTCCACCACCTTTCCGACCACTGGGTCTGGGTGAGTGGGTCCAGATAAGGCCTCCATAGGAAACTGCTGCAGGAGAAGCAGAATCTGCTGCTTGAAGCCAGGTTTCTGTACTAGCTAGTAGGTTAAGGGAGCGGGAGACAAAAAGGTCATGGACACAGGTGAGCTTATTACAGACAGAGCGTTCATGAAAATGCGCACATGAAAAAGGCGGGGTGGTTTTTGGGAGCACGGGGACTGATATTAAATTGAGAGGGATTGCGGCTATTCCCAGAAGAAAGAGGATGCCTGGTGTGGGGGTGAAATACTGGAGGACCAGGGTTTGGGGAGATATCCCCAGAGGTTAGGAGAAGAAGGGTGAGGAAAGTAACATGGGAGCGGGATGTACATGAGTGCACATGCCTTCCAGTCCTGGTGTTTGGGTCAGCAGGAGAGTGAAGTATCAGCAGGAGGTGATGAGAGCAGTAGTAGGGAGATGGTAGCAGTGAGGGCGAGATGTACAAGTTTTGGGGTGGAGCAGAGGGGTAAAGAAGTGAGATTTTGGGAACGCAGGATAGTAATATGAAAAGGTAATTTGATCACTAGTGGTACCACTTATTTGACAACTGTTTTCCACAACAACCAATCATCTTTCACATTGTACCATTTTGTGCCTCAGTGCAGATAAAAAGGATTATCTAATTGGTTCACTGGTTGAATGAAAAAAAAAAAAAAATAATTAGAATTCCCTTTCGACAAAAGATAACACCAGTTTAATTAGCACAGTGGCTAAGTGGTTAGCACCTCTGTCTAGCTACATTAGGGTCGTGGGTTCAAATCCCAACCATAGCACTACTTGCATGGAGTTTGCATGTTCCGGTGTGTGTTTCCTCTCACACTCCAAAGACTTGCTGGTAGGTGAATTGGTCCTAGTATATGAGTTAGGGACCTTAGATTGTATGCTGCTTGAGGGCAGTGTCTGATGTGAATGTGTAATAAATATGTAAAGGGCTGCGTAAATTGAAGGCACTATATAAATACCTGTAATTACATGTTATAGGTTTTATTAGGCAATTAAACTGGTGTTGTTACCTTTTGTAGATGGATCTTTATCTGTTATCAACTTGGTAGGAAAGTTTATGTTTCAGTCCTGAAGAAGTGGAAGAACCGTGAAACACGTAGACTGAGTTAGATATTAAATGTTAAGCTTTCTATGGCTTTTTACTATATATACTGTGTCTGTTATCATGAACAGTAGATCCTGCTTTAGATATTCTTTTTATGTACCTGGGATATGTTTTAACCTGTTGTTGTTTAACTGACATTGATTTGCATCTAGTGTCATTGAATACTCACAGGGGAGTATATTTAAAGTCTTATATATTATTATTATTATTATTATTATTATTAATAATAAATGTAAACTGCTAAATATATTTTCTCATCAGCAGTTAGAGCAGTCTTATGACTTCTATCAGTGTTCAGTTGGTTAAAGTTTGTAGGAGGAGATTTCATTGTGCTCTGACTGCCCTAAAATCCCTAACCCTCTGTCTGGAAAGTGCTGATTGGATCTGTGCTGATCACGTGTACCATCCCAAAGAAAAAAAAAACCTTCTAGCAATCCACACCAAACTGAGCATGTGCAGAATGACACCTAGAGCTCTGTACTATCAGCAGATGGATTGGGGACACTAGAAGAAGGGGAGGATCAAAGAAGACAGAATCAAACAACCTTTTTACATAATATGGAGGATTAACCCCTTAGGTTCCACATTGAGTATATCAAGCATGCGTTGCTGCATATACAGACTGATTTTACTGTTGTGGGCAGGGGCGGACTGACAACTCATGGGGCCCCCGGGCAATAGGGGATCATGGGGCCCCTCTGTCCTTGCCCAAACTCAAAAAAGCCTATGAAAAAGGTACCAGGGGCATCTCATGGGGCCCCCTACTGACCCCGGGCCCTCAGGCAGTGCCCGAGTTTCCAAATGGTCAGTCCGCCTCTGGTTGTGGGTTTAGTAACACTTTAACTGGAGGGCAAGGAAAGGCAGCTTTCTTAATGACATTTATAGCTTTTTTGAAACATTCTGTATTGTGACGTTGTCAGAAATGTATCCATGCACACTGGTAAAGTTATTGAAAGATCCACTTTAAGTTACAATGCAGAAAGTGAGAACTGAATGGACCCTTAAGCCGGCCTCACACTATACAATCGAATTGTAAAATCTCCTTTAGGCTTTCCAAAAATATGAGGACAATCCTAAACAATTCATTAGTATCCAATCCAACGGGCCCTCGTACTGCATAGTTGATGGCGGATCTGAAGGATTGTATAGTGTATGAGCAGACCTTGTGAAAGCTGCACTCTGATTGGTTGCTGCAGCGCACTGCACATTTCACTTTTGTTTTTTGTCCCATTAATTGGAAGTCTTTGAGGTCGTTTTCATTTTTGAAAAAATGAACTGCAACAAGTTTTTCTTTAATGATTTTCAGCGTCTTTCTGCCTCTGCCTCTATATGTGTGTTTCCATACAGTGAGCTAGCCCTTTAAAGCTCAGTCTAGTGCTGTTAGTATAGAGGGGGTGAGGAATGTGTCTGCAGCAGGGAGTGAAGGGGGGGGTCTCTCCCCATTAATCACAGAACAGAAGTGGAGGGGGGGGGGGCTGCTCATTGTCTGCTTTAAGTTAGTATATAAAAGATTTATGGGACTTCAGCTTAGGCGGTTTTGACTGATATAAATTACTTGAGAGGCTAGGGGGGTGATAAAGACCCCCCCACCATCACCACCTTCCTTTTTCTGTACTAAGAAGAGAGCCTTGGGCCTGTTGAGTTTTAATTAACCCAATGCTCACTTTTATTTCATCCTAGTATTCCTGCCTTAGCTGGACTGGGATATGTAGAAAACATTCCATTCCTGTTATGAAGGAGGGAGAGATGGATGGCTTTATGTCTCTGTGTGTGTGTTAGGAGGTAATGAGAGGTGTCTGGATATCTGTGGATTTGTCTAGTGCCGGGTCACAGGGCGCCATTCGAAGTACACCTTTTTCAATAGAACTTGCAAGTCAAAGTCCGGCCATTACATAGTCAACTGTGTGCCCATACACCAATCAGCTATGACTTTATGACCACCCTCCTAATATTAAGTAGGTCCCCCTTTTGCCACCAAAGAAGCCCTGACCCATCAAGGCAAGAACACCACTACACCTCTGAAGGTATGCTGTGATATCTGGCACCAAGCCCGTCAGCAGCAGATCCTTTTAGTCCTGTAAGTTGCGAGGTGGGGCCTCCATGGCTTGAATTTGTTTTGCCAGCAAATCCCAGAGGTGCTCGAAGGGCTGAAATCTGGAGAATCTGGAGGCCAAGTTAAGAAAAACTCCTTGTTGTGTTCCTCAAACCATTTTTGCAGTGTGGCAGGGCACATTATTCTGCTGAAAGAGGCCACTGCCATCAGGGAATACCGTTACCATGAAGGGTGTAATTGGTGACCAACAATGTTTAGGTAGGTGGTACGTGTCAAAGTAACATCCGTATGAATGGCAAGACCAAGGTTTCCCAGCAGAACATTGCCCAAAGCATTACACTGCCTCTGCCGGATTGCCTTCTTCCCATACTGCATCCTAGTGCCATCTCTTCCCCAGGCAATCGACCCACATGCATCTGGCCATCCATATGTTGTAAAAGATAATGTGATTCATCAGACCAGGCCACCTTCTTCCATTGCTCCATGGTCCAGTTCTGATGCTCATGTGCCCATTGTAGGCAAATTTTGGCTGTGGACACAGGTCACCATGGGCGCCCTGACCAATCTTTGGCTACACAGCCCCATACACAAAAAACTGCAGTGCCCATTTTTTCTGCTTTCAACACATCAACATCAGGGACAACATGTTTTCTTGCTGCCTAATATATCCTATTGACGTTCAAATGCCATTGTAAGGAGATAATCAATGTTATTTACTTAACCCCAGGATTCTCCAAACTTTCCAATTAAAGGGCCAGTTTACTGTTATTCAGACTTTCAGGGGGCTGGACTCTGGCCAGTGTGAGTAGAAAATGCCCTAGTAGTAAATAGTGCCCCATTATTAGAAGCAGTGGGAGGAATAGTGCCACACCATTGGTGTCAGTGGGAGGATTAGTGCCCCATCATTGGTGTCAGTGGGAGGAATAGTGCCCCATCATTGGCGTCAGTGGGAGGAATAGTGCCCCACCATTGGTGTCAGTGGGAGGAATAGTGCCCCATCATTGGTGTCAGTGGGAGGAATAGTGCCCCATCATTCATTGGTGTCAGTGGGAGGAATAATGCCCCACCATTGGTGTCAGTGGGAGGAATAGTGCCCCATCATTGGTGTCAGTGGGAGGAATAGTGCCCCGCATTGCTGTCAGTGGGAGGAATAGTGCTCCATTATTGGTATTAGTAGGAGGAATAGTTCCCAACCATTGGTGTCAGTGGGAGGAATAGTGCCCCATTATTGGTGTCAGTGGGAGGAATAGTGTCCCATCATTGGTATTAGTGGGAGGAATAATGCCCTATCATTGGTATCAGTGGAAGTAATAGTTCTCCATCATTGGTAGCAGTGGGAAGAATAGTGCTCCATTGTTGGTATCAGTGGAAGGAATAGTTCTCCATCATTGATATTAGTGGGAGGAATGGTGCCCCATTTTTGGTAACAGTGGTGGGAATAGTGCCCCATCATTGGCATCAGTGGGAGGAATAGTACCCCATCATTGATGTCAGTGGGAAGATTAGTGCCCCATCATCTGTTTCAGTGGGAGGAATAGTGCTCCATTGTTGGTATCAGTGGGTGGAATAGTTCTTCATCATTGGCATCAGTGAGAGGAATTGTGCCCTAACATTGGTATCAGTGGAAGGAATAGTGCTCCATCATTGGTATCAGTAGGAAGAATAGTGCCCCATTGTTGGTATCAGTGGAAGGAATAGTTCTCCATCATTGGTATCAGTGGGAAGAATAATGCTCCATTGTTGGTATCAGTGGAAGGAATAGTGCTCCATCATTGGTATCAGTAGGAAGAATAGTGCCCCATTGTTGGTATCAGTGGAAGGAATAGTTCTCCATCATTGGTATCAGTGGGAGGAATAGTACTCCATAGTGGGAGGAATAGTGCCCCATCATTGGTATCAGTGGGAGGAATAGTACTCCATTGTTGGTATTATGGTAAGGAATAGTGCTACATCACTAGCATCAGTGGGAGGAATGGTGCTCCATTGTTGGGGGGGAATAGTGTCTTGTATCAGTGGCAGGAATAGTGCCTCAGGGGCCAGATAAAGGCAAAGGCCTGCTCCCGGGCCCCACAGTTTGGGACCACTGACAGTGGCTTTACGTGTCAGTGGTCATAAAGTTATGGCTGATTGGTGTATTAAAGCTAATAAGGAACAAATGTATTGGAAGCACCCAAACAATTCCGCCCAATCCTTATCCACATGGATAATAGTATATGTGGTTATTGAACCATTTTTTTTAATCTGGCCAAACCTACAAGCCATTGACATTAGAGATTTTCACATGTTCTGCCTGAATATAGTTAGATCAGAAAAATGGTCAAATGCCCATGGGTACTTAAGAAGCTCGGTAGAAATCAACCAAACGACTGATTTCATTGGAATGATCCATTGTCTAATATGGGTTTTCCCAAATTTTGTTTTCAAGTAATAATGCTTCTCCTTGATTCAGTCAAAGGTAGAAATAGCATATACCCAGGGGTATAGTTATAAAACTATCCATAGCTATTCATCTAGTGAACATGCTACTACATTCAGTGCAAAATCGAATGTCCTCTTTCTATTTCCTCTACAGGTTGATAAATAATCCTGCAAAAAAAAAAAAATAGAGTGGTTTGGGAAAATACTGCATTATGGCCAGTAGATGGAGCTGAGGGTCACAGGAAATAAGTACAATCCTTAACTCCATCTAGTGGCCATAATTCAGTATTTTTCTGAACCTCTCCATTTTTTATGAATTAATAACATTGGACATGTAGAAGAAATAGGAGAACTTTCGATTTTGCCCCACTCTCACAGAACAATTATGGTTTCACTGGACAATTTTTTTCTGTTATAAATACACCTTTCAGTGAGTTTGTTCCTCCTTTCTCCATTGACAGGGAAAGATCAGTCAGCGTGCATGTAAAAATTTTACTTGATGATAAATTCTATGAGTATTAGTGAAGCTTTAATGGTCTTCCTAATTCTCTGCATGATCCAACATGGGCGGTTTGATTGTCACAAGTAAAACTCACATGTTGTATCGTATCAGGCTGTGGATGGCCATCACACTTGTGCATTTCCCATTCAGGGCCAAGTAACAGGTTAGTTTGATACCCCACCTTTTAGTTGATGGTAGATGGTGCTCTGGTGTCTGTGTATTAGGAAAGGATCAACTTGGTGCTGTCTGTGTATCCTATGGATATCAGTGCTAAGATGTCCATGTATTGGGAAGGCATCAGAGTAGTGTTGTCTGTGTGTTTTGAAGGATATCAGAGATATGGTGTCTGTATTAGGAAGGGATCAGTGTGGTGCTGTCTTTATTACAGTAATATCAGTGTTATGGTATCTGTGTACTAGGAAAGGATCAGTGCTATGGTGTTTGTGTATTAGAAGGATGTAAGTGTTATGGTGCCTGTGTATTAGTAGGATTTCAGGGCTACAATGTCTGTGTATTGGGAGCAGTGTGGTGCTGCTGTTTTGTGTATTACAAGGATCTCAGTGCTATGGTTTCTGTGTGTCAGGAAGGAATGTTGCTGTCTGTGTATTAGAAGGATATCAATGTTATGGTGTCTGGGTATTAGGAAGATGTCAGTGCTATAATGTCTGTGTATTACAAGGGTATCAGTGCTATGGTGTCTGTGTATTAGTAAGATATCAGTGCTCTGTTGTCTGTGTATTAGAGGGATATCAGTGCTCTGTTGTCTGTGTATTAGTAGGATATCAGTGCACTGATGTCTGTGTATTAGAGGGATATAAGTGCTCTGGTGTCTGTGTATTAGAGGGA